GCTTGTGATTCAGACCTCTGTGTTTGGAAGTTGCTCTTGTTACCTGTCCTAATTTCATCATAATAATCTAAAAAATATTTGAATAGAAATCTCCCTCCCAAACAGTGGAACTAACCTGGGTGGCAAATCATTATTCTTTTCATGCCTTTAATGCTTCACTTCTCTTGCCCTTCTTTCCTCTCCTTTTGACTGACAATTTCAATATTGAAATTGTAATTTCTTTAGGTCAGGGAGCATTTTCTGCAGTGCTCAGAAGCCACCACGGTGAAATTCCATTGGAATGCAAGAAAGGACAGCCCAGATCCCAAAACTTCCAGCACATATCTGCGTATTCCTGGATTTCTGGGGGGAACTGGGGCTTGCCATCACCACCACCCCTTGCTCCTGCTTTGCCTTTGCTGCTCCTTTACCTCGCCCAGAATTTGGAAAGTGCTGTTGCACTCTGCGCTCCTCGTTAGTGTGGAGGTGACAGGGATGGTGTCCTCGGAGGTGCCGAGTGACAGAGGTGACATCACTGGGATTCTTGGCACTGCCACCTGCCAAACTCATGGACGGAGCTGCAGAAGGGCTGCAAGGTGCAGAAGTACAGAGGGTGAGGAGGCAGCACAAGAGCCAAATATTGCTCTGATCTGCTCATGCACAGCCCAGTTTCTCTGTGGTGACCCTATTTACAGAGCTACCTCAGGAGTTTGTAAGAATGGTGACAAAAAAAAGAGGCAAATTCTTACAGAGAAGTCCAATTAAATATCCAAGTGCTGTGCCATTTGAAATGTCTTTGCTCTTGTGTTCAAACAAAGAGTGATCAACTATCTAATAGCTGTTAAATGAATGTAAGCAGTATGAGACCTAACTGGAGACTATTAAACACATTTTAGTGTCACACTGCAGCAGCAAGTTTGTTTCTTTTCACTGCTTGTTTCTTTTTTTCATTTGCATTTGTTTCCACACAAAACTTTATCTTGGAAATTTTTTATGACTAATAAAAGTAATGTTAGTCCTTAGGTCATCACCTGAGAGAGTTTAGGTTAGCCTTATACACTGCAGGAACATTAAATTGAATCATCTGAGCAAAAATAGATCATCAGAGAGCAGCAGATGAATCCATTACCAGGAAATCTGCTGCTTTCTCCAGTCTGGACAGGAGAGGAACAATCTGAGGGGATGTCACCAAGCTGGGAGAGGAAAGAGATGAGGCCATGGCAGAGAAAGGAACAGCAGAACTGATATAAGAACTGGATAAAACCCTGTTTTAATAAACTTATGTATTTAGAGGAAGATAATGCATCTGTTCTCCTGACAAAACCAAACACCCACGAACCTCTGTCTGCCATAAACAACCATTTATGGCAAATAAAATCCACGTGGTCCTGGTTTTCTGACAGTTCTGTGGTGCTGTAGCTGTGGGATGTTCGATTTTATGTAGAAAAGGAAGCTGAAAATGAAAAATGAGAATCCAGGGATACGGTAATGCTACGTTGTCTTTGTGGCTTGTGAAAGCTGCTGCTCTTGTGGCTGGATCCTTCCATGAACCAACAAAATACAACTTTCTTTCAAGAACAGAAATTGCTTCTAGCTCTTCCATTTGAGATATCTGTGTGTTTGTGGTTATCTATGATCAGGGTCATAAAGTGATCCTGGGTGAATTAGGAAAGTGTTCCAAGGCCTCCAGGTCCAGACAGGGGCTGCCTTTGCAATCAGGCTCCTTTCAGGTAATAGCTTTTTATCTCTGCAGTTTGATTCCCTTTCTGTGTCATGTGGACATAAAGATGAAGGTAAAAACCTTTGGGAAATCAGTAAAAACTTGAATTTACTTCTTGCACTTGCATTGCATCTTTGTGTCATTACTTTTTACAGCTTTTAGCCTAAAATAATGGAATTAATTATTTTTTATACTTACAGCAAGTGGTTAAAAATAACATCCAGTTTTCAAATTAGTATTGACCATTCACTTAAATAAATAAATGAATTCTAGGCCTGTTGAACTATTAGAAAAAAAAAGAGTTAATGAAAATGGGGAGCATAAAGGAAGGGGATATATAAAACACAGTTACTTGACTACTTAGCCTTATAAATAGCACAGAAATCATGTTACATGGAGTTGCATACGAAAGAGAGCAAAAATATGCAAATGCTTGCCTTTAAAAGACCCAGGCATGAAAATAGCTTTGCTTTTCTTCTGTTCCCTCCTATCCAGAATGCTTTTTCTCCAGAATGTTTACTCTCTACTTCGTTGCACATCAAGGCTTTCATGAACAGCATGGATTTTTCTATTTAGAAGTGGTTCACATGAGGATAGTCCATCAGAGACATCCTCTCTGGCATGTAATTAAAACAGTGTCCTACCTGAGCAAGGATCCAATCCTAGCTGAGGGATGGGCCTGACTCTATGGAATCACTCTGCACCTTGGGAAGGGTTTTGCCAGACCCAGTGCAGTGTCACATTCTCTGTTGCTTTTCTCATCTCCTGCCTTTACTAGGAATTAACAGCCCAGTTTACAAATACTGCAATGGGAAATAGTCATGTTAAAAAAAAAAAAAATCTGTAAATAAGCATGAAAATCTGGTTCCAATTAAATATCGAATGCAGTTTCACTTAATGCTGTCATTTTCATTCAGTGGGACCTTGCCCAGCTTAGTAAACAAATCTAAACAAATGGATGTGGGAGCTTTCAGAGTGAAACTCTCCTGGATTGCCTGCCAGGCTTTCCATTATTCATAATCAAGATATTTTTTTAATAAGTTGACCTGTTTAATGATAAAAATGCCTTTGAGTATAATTAAATTGAATTCTGTGCCTAAAGTGACCTTCTGATTCATGGGCATTTGCAGCAGAAAGAACAAAAATAAAATGAAATCTTTATTGAAAGGTGCAGTAATTAAGTCTCTCAGTTCTGATTCTCAGCAGCTGGGATAAAACAGGAGATTAGCAAAGGCTGCTGTCAGTAATGCACCCAAAGATCTGCCAATGAGGGAGATGCTACCCTAAAAAAATGATTTAATTTTTTTTTAACAGGGCAGAGAAGTCTCAGAATTGAAATCATTACAGAATCATTCCTTACAAACAGAGGCAGAAGAGCTGGTTCTTCAGTCCTGCAGCATTTTCCAGCCATAAATGAGCAGCCCTGACTGAGAACCCCAAAATGTTACATCCAATGTAGATTCCTCGTGGATTTTGCTTTGGCTGAGGGTTGGCTTCTCTTTCCTTGGAAGTTCAGTGGAAATGTGAGACTCTGAGCTCAGGAAAAGATGCCTTTTCCCAGGCAGTCAATACATTATTGGGTGCCTGTTTTGAATTATTAAGCAGCTAATCGGATTCCAAAGGCATGTCTTTCTGTTGCCTTGGATTAAGGGCCTGATTACAATTCCTAATTAGTCACCTCAATTCCCATTGATTTCCCAGAGAGTTAGGCCACACCACTCTCTGTGATCCAGCTCCACATTCCAGAGGCAGAAGACATGGGAATGTAGGGCAGGAGCTGGAGGGGGCACACACAGCACACTGCACAATGTGACTGCAGGTTACCTTATCAGGTTAATTAATTAAGGACTATGCTCTGGAGATCCCGTGTCTCTTGAATTACCCTCCTTCCTTTAAGGAAAAGAGCTAAGGGAAATTTCACATGTTTTTAATAGAATAGAAAAACCATAGAAAATAGGGCTGAAAAGCAGCTCAGGAGGTCATTGAGTCCATGTTTCTTCTCAAGGTAGAACTCACTAAATCTAAGCCCCATCCTGGGAGCTCCTTTTCTGACCTCACCTCAAATCCTGGCAGTGGAGATCCCACAGCCTCTTTCTGCAAGGCTATTCCAGTTCTTGGTGATGGGAGCTACAGGTGGAAAGTTTTCCTACTGCCCAGTCTGAATCCCTCCTGGGAATTTTTCAGCCAGTTTATCCCTCCCTCATCTGCACAGGAAACCATCCCAAACCTTCCTTGGCCTCATTGTTCCATGTGTGAATTCCTCAGCCATCATTTATTCATAGGCAGCATTTTCTAAACTTTTGATTCTTCTCACTGCTCTCTGATTTGCATTTTTAAATAAACCTTTATTGCAGCAGAAGTAATTTGGATGGAGAACGGTATATCAGAAAATAGACATTACCTTTGAATCCTGTAGGCTTTCCAGGATGTATGGAATGGCTGCAGCTTGAGGAGCCTTTTGGTGAGGCTGTGCAAGGCCTCTCCTCTCCAGCACATGTGGGAAAATCTGTGATCCTGGGGCTGGAATTCTCGGGGGGGGCTCTGCTGGCGTCACCGGTGGCAGAACGGGACCAGGGGCCCCGGAGTGAACTGGGGCGTGCAGTCACTCTGCAGCCATCTGCCATTTCCTCCTGCAGCCTCCAAAGCCTTCCTGCACTCATCTCACACTTTTCACATCCAAATGTCTTTTGTTTTGCTTTTGTTCCCCCAAATGGAAATGAAACTGTAACCAGAAAAAAAGATAGGAGCGGCTCGAACACACCTTGCTCAGGAGAATTGTGGTGAACATTTGGGTTTGGTTCTGCCACTTTCTCTCTGTCCTTTTTGTAAATTCTCCACCAGGCATTGCTGGGTGTGCTCCTTGCTGTTGCCATCATGGATCTCTTAGAAATTGCTTATGGAATGTTGGGATTTTTGTGCCAAAAAAGCAAATGGATGATTCTTTTAAATCTCTTCTGCATTTACCAAGAAGAGAACCTCTGTACCTTCTGGTGATTGGTTTATGCTTCACCTGGGTTGAATTTCTTATAGAAGAACTATTAGAATTAGAATTTACTGGCCATTAGGAGGAAAAAAAACCTAAGTTATTACCTATTCCACTGTATGATGGTGCAATATATCAAGTTGAATCTAGCAGAACTCTTAAATAAATTCCACTATCCATTTTGAAAATTGTGTGTAGTTTTGCATTAAATTATATTAACTGCTGAGTGTTGTTGTGATATGTGTACTGTTCCTTTTAAAAGGGTAAAAATCAAATTATCAGGAATGGCAGGGAATCATATTTAAAATTTGTGTGGCAATGGTAAAATGGACTTAGAAGCAAGGTAAAATAAAAACTTCAAGTTGGCATATTGTGTGTTAATGACCTGTAAATATTGTGCTAATGTTGCAAAGGGGACGGCAATGATTTAATTTAAGGACATACTCTGAAGTTAATTATGAATTTTGCCTGAGACTCAGCACTGTGTCTCTGCACAACCTGGAGTAATTTCTGCTGGAAGACTCAATCCCAACCATGCAGCGCCATGGACTTACTCTAACAGCATTTTTTCTGTCTCAAATTTATGTAAATCCAAGTGTCTCCCTGAGTACTCCCACTTACTAAGGGTTTCATCAGGAAACAACCTCGTATTAAATACATGAAGTGAGAAATCTGGGGGTTTACTTTCTTTTTATTTTTTTTTTAATTGGTTGCTGCTTTAGATTTTTGCAAATATGATATTTCAACAGGCATTTTATTCCAACAGGGAGACTTTGAAGGAAATATAGACTGATTATTGGAATAAGCTGGAGTACAGTCAGGGGTTTTATTCCTCTAATTCCCCCTATTCCCTGACCATTTCACATTTCTTGTCTTTTTCTTCATTTCACAACAATCCCTTTTGGAGGAAAGAGTTCTATCTGGAAGGATGTGCAAGGAAAATGTTGGGAGATCTCTGTTCTTCGTCATCCTTGGAACCAGAGGAGATTGTTTGAATTCTGTGGGCAAGGGCTGGGATGTGGGAGGGTGAAAAGATCCCTGGAAAAGACAGAGAGTAGAAATGTCCAATTCCTGCTGCTCCTTCATCAAGGGTACATTCAGAATGCAGAATTCTTTGCAGTCCTGACTAAATGTTATTCACTGTTTCTTGCTCTTATCAGTCTTCTGCACTATTTTCCTTCAATATATTCCAGAGTGACTGCAATGGAAGAGAAATCCATTTTAAGTTGGAAGAAAATATATCGGTGTGTCAATCTCCCTCATGAATGGGATGCCTGAGACATTCACATGATAAGAGAGAAGTCTTTAATTATTGCAGCAGCAAGTACTCAAATTAATCTCAATCATTCCATTAATTCTTTCCTTTCTTTCTTTTTCTTTCTTTCTTTCTTTCTCTCTTGGTCAGGTTGTGCAGATATCAGAACCTGAGCACTTACTCAGACGTGTCTTATTGTACTTTATTGTTCTTTTCCCTGCACATTTTTCATGTCCTCTGTTCTTTTTCCTGCTAATTTTTCTTGTTCCCTGCGTCAGAGAAGAGCTTTGATCACTGAGGTGTTAAAATCAGTAATATTCACTTTTGTTTTCAACTGACATCCCATTAAACTGAACATATGTACTAAAAGGCCCACATATATTCCTTCTTCAGCCTAAATAAAGCTGGCAATCAAAATGGACATTTTCTTTCTGGAAATGTGAGATCTGGATTTAAGAATGGCTATAAAGGCTAATATTTCTTTCCAGTTTTTCCAGTTTCCTTGCTAGGTAGATTGGGGCAATACATTTTACAGGAGGAAGAATACTAAAGGAATATCCCTTTATTGCTTTAAGCCATTCCTGCAGGAGAGGGAGAGTACCAGACAAAGTTCTCCATCAAACATAGAAACCTCTTTCCCTCATGCTCAGGAATATGATTGATCCCTGTGAAGATAAATGACATTTTCATGGTTCTTTTTAAAAAAAGAAGATGTGAGAATTATTTTTAATTTTTATAATAAATTTAATATAATAAATAAAGAACTATTAAATAAACAAATATTATATTGATAATAAATTATTTATTTATTGATAAAGAAATTATGTGGTCCCTTACGGGCTTCATGAAACCATTAAAAAACCAGGTAATTTCCCCTTCTGTGCTGTCTAAATGAAGCTCACCTTTCCATAATGTGATGGTGACTCAGAGCTGAAGGCTCAGGAGGAACTGTGCAATTGTTCTTGGCAAGTTCTCCTAAATATCAAGAATTAATATTCAGCTGGAAACAGGGAGCCTGGGAAGTTTCCCTAATTGGATTTCTCAGCCCTGCTGCCACAGGCTGTCCCTGTGGGTGACAGAGTTTGCTCTGAGTGGCAGACTGAGGTCAACTCCATCTTGTGGGCATCACTTTTTATTTTCTTTGCTGCTTTCTTATGTCTCTATTTTGTTGTTGTGAGCATTTTCCTTTGCTGCCATCTCAGCCAGGTGAAAGTAAATCAGAGCTCAGGCTCCAGCCTTGCTGAGCTTTACTTGGGAATGATTTTCTCCCTGTCTTTGGAACTACTAAAAATCTACTTATCAAATGCATGGTTTCAGCAAATGGGATGATGACACAATCAGCCCTGATAAAAAAAAAACCAAAAAACCAAAAAAACCAACAAAACAAAACCAAAAAAACCCTACATTAAATATCAGAAAACACCAAGTTTTGATAAAAGTGAGCATTTTTCTATCAGTCCATTATTGTTTTTAACATCTGTAAGTCAAGACATGCTGTGGAATCATGAGCTGAAAGAGGACAGAAACAGATGAGGATTCACTGAAGAAAATACAAAAATACTTTATGAGGCAGTGGTAACTGTGTAAATACCTTGTCCTTCCCCCAGCTCACTCTATCTGAGGATTAAAGCACAGTTTTCAGGTATTAATAAATTAAATTTCATTGTATTCTTCCAAAGTTTTAAGGCAATGCAGCTCTTTGACTGGGAGATGGATGGATGTGCAGGGATTAAATGATTTGCTGGCAGAGGTGTCATTTGTCAGCCCCAGACCTGGGAGCACTGCTCAGCCTCCTATCATGTTACATCTTCCAATTTACCACTGCTGGCTTATTAGAACTCAAATCCTGCTTCACCACTAACTTCTCCTGTGTTATCTCAGAGCTCAGCTGGCGTTCCTAATCTTTATTTTTTCCTTGCTCTATTATTTTCAGTCTAACCCCTGGCAGTTGTGTCTCTGATGTGGCCTCCATGCCTCATTAAAAAGCTCACTCGGGTGGTTGCACCACCTGTATTTGGATTTGAAAACTCTGTGCCCTTGAGGAATCTTGGTGCTGCCTGCCTGTACTTCTGATAGATCCAATGCTGTGCTATTAGCAGTGTTTTACAGATAAACCCAGCAAACATCACTCATTGCAATTTCCAGCGTGTATTTTGAATACTGATTTTATTTTTTTTAACATTTGGTGTTTTGGTGACAGTTAAAAATTCTTGCACTTTCATGGCTCTTCTCTAAATTCTTTCACAGAAATCTCTGTTCCAACTAAGAAAATATACTTGTATTTGATCTTCCCTTGATTGCCTCCTCCTGGATTTTTGTGCTTATATAATTACTATTCAAATTTACTGCTGCCTTTGGTCCAGAACTGTGCCTTGCAGAGGTCCATTTGATTCTTTATTTTTTTAATCATTGTTAGATGATTTTATCTACCAATATCATTACCAGTGTGTGTTTTGGGGACAGAATGGATTGAATTTATTTTCAAAACATTCCTTGGCCTGGGGTTTTAGTGATTTCTGGATTAGCTACATGGTTTTGTGTGACCCTTGATCTTCTATCTGTTCTAAGACTCTTTCCTCTTTCTTTTCCCAAGGAATCTGTGGTGATTGCTGATATTTAAACACGTATATGTGTGTTTGTATATATACATATATAAATGTATTTCAGCTGCAAATGTTGAGTATTTTCCTTCAAGGCAGTGTCTCAGTATGGTGCTAAAGAACGGTGAGAGGATGATGGAGTTTGTGGATGGGATATCAAGGCAGACAGTTCTCATTTTTATCACATCACAGGTGATATTCACATTATTCTGGTTACATTTTAGCCTCAGTTTCTGTGTAGAGACCTGCTGTTCTTTCCAGCATAGTCCATTTCTTGCTGTTTGTTCAAAACAGTTGTGTAATGTTGCTATCCATGGTTAGCAATTTGCTGCTTTTTATCCAAGGTAGCTTGGATGTCAGTGCTAGTAGAAGTAATCATTTATTTTTAGATTCTAAATCCTTTGGGAACTCACAAAGCACTGTAGACATAGAAGATAATCATTTGTCTCCAAAGGTTCCTTATTTTTTATTAATGTTTTGATTTGGTATTCTCTCTGTCTGCTACCCCTGCCTCCCTGAATATGTATTTCCAGGGTAATTGATAGTGTGGCTCCTGAGGAACTCTCTTAAGTGCTGATTAGAGCTGTGACACTGCTCCATTGGAAGCAGCTCTCAGCCTCCTCATCATGGGGTGAGTCAGTCCTCACCAGTGCATTATTTACAATCCAGGTTCAGGCAGCTTCCAACAAGTCCTGCTCATGTTTGAGGAAGATTTCTTCTGATCTGAGTAAATTTCTGCCACATCCTGAACCAATTTCCTGATAATGTCACCTGTTTGCATTTGTTTATCTTCCATAGAGACAAGCCCTGAAATTTTGCACATTATTCCATGTTCTCTGTGGTTTGGCTGTGCACAGGACAGACCCAAGGCCTGGCACTGGGCAAAGTCACAGATTTTCCTGCTTTTTCCTCTCTGGATGGACCCAGGCTCATGTTCTCCACAGGCTGTTGTGTGCTGCCTCCTTGCTCAGGGTATTATGTAACAGATTCTTTCTTATATTTAGAGCTTGTGCCTCTTCTGAAGAGATCACAGGTTTGATAATAAGCTTAGGGAAAAGTTGACAATCTTCTTTGTGGAGGGGGAGAGGGAAACGGAGCTGTTGGGTAATTCTTAGATGAGCAGCATTGTCACCTCTGAAATGGGTGATGTGAACAATGTGAACTCATAGAAAATCAAATGGAACAAATAAGACTTAAAGACTGATTATGTTGCATAAACAAAGTCCCACATTGTGGTGAATAGGCAGAGTTTGTGTGGGAGAATTTGTGCAGAATTGAGAAGTCCAGAGTGGAGAACCAATGTCCATAATCTGGAGAGATTTGTAATGTCACACTATGAAATGTCACAGCTCTTTTAATTTTTTTTTTTTTTCAGTTGACCTTTTAACAATGATTGGAATATGCGCACAGATTTATTTTTAAATGGGACTGGGAATAATTTAAAGACATTTCTCCCAAGTTTTAAATAATTCTCTGTACCTTCTAGGACAGGAGAGAGGCCACAGCACTGCAGAGTTGTTTGAAACATCTCCAGCTTGTTTGGAATCAATTCCTATAGCCTTTGTGAGCAAGAAGAGCTAAATTTAGCTGTGTGCTGCAGGCAGGCTCTGTTCCATGGGCTCAGGACCTGCCTGGCCCCATGGAAAGCCACATTCCTCAGCTTTGGACCTCCCAGAATCTTCCCCACCTCGGTAAGCTCAGGGTGCAGATCCTCACTAAACCTGAGAACAGGGAGAGGAGGGAGCTGAGCCAAGGGAGGGGAGCAGGGGAGCACGGGGATCCTGTCACTTGAGCCTGTCCCTCCCTGGGATGCTGAGGCTCATTCCCACACGCTGAAATGTCACGGAGCCACTTCCAGAGCACTTAACAACCTGACATGGCCTCCAAGTGTTATTCCTCCTCTGTTTCAGTGTCATTCCTCCTCCATTTCAGTGTTATTCCTCCTCTATTTCATTAGTATTTGATAGAAGGAAGTTTGGTTGGGTTTTTACCTCTCCAGATTTTCTCCTTTGTTCTTTTAAAATTCTTTTCATTCCTTAGAGATGCTACAATTTGCAGCATTTCCTGCTGTAAATAGATCCATATAGGAAGTGGAAGGTGAGCTATAAAAGGAAAACTGTTTGGCTGAAGCTTATGTTGCTACAACTACTCCCCCAGTTCTTCTCCCTGCAGCATCTGAGTGT